ACGGGCCTTCGTTATCGCGTTAACTTTCTTCATGTCCCACCTACCTGAATCGTAATGCCAAGTAACGGACAAATGTCGCATTGGAGATCTAAGGTAAACAATTCTTTTTCTAAATATAACTGTATACCCCACAACCAATTACAATGACTTCGTATATAATAATAAATGTAATTCTCTCTCTCTGTCAAAATCATATCTTGTTATTCAAGGGGGATCAATTTAATTTATAAATGAATGGACAAGATGAATCATAGATTATTGGATAATTTAAATATCTATAACTACAGAAATTAGTGGCTCAAGGTACAAGTATTCGTGGCGTGAATTTAATCGATTTTAGAATAAAAAATTATCTCATCTAATTCTTTTGGTTTCATCATATAATTATTAATTCGATTTATTTTTTTTCAAATTCGATCTAATCTAATTTTATTTGGTTTGGATTGAATAGATTTTTGATATTTTGAAAAGCCTAAATTTGTATAATAATTATTGTGCAAATAACATATTTCTGCATGTGTTGACTTTGTAAAGTTTGTACGATGATTATCGTCCAATCTAGAAGCATCAGTAGTAATCTAATTTTCAATATTGTACAATAAAAAGTTGAATTATCGTATTTTACCTCAAATAAAAAATTTACAATATGATTGCCTGAAATACGAAGTAACCCCAATTTTCATTATATAGAGGAGCTACTGTACAACAATAACTCATGCAATAAAAACATATGATGTATCTTACCTCCAAAAAATAACACATAACATAGATCAAACACAATTCACTTTCTCTAATATGATGGGTTAACGAATATTGAGTTTAGAATTTTGCTATATGATTTTTGGACTATGATTGGACAAAGACCCAAGAAGGTAGAGGAATAAGAGGATAGGGTGGGAGAATTATTGGATCGATTTTCACTAACTAAATCAAAAATCGATCTAATCTAATTAAATTTTACATTTTTTTGTTTTTCAATTTTTTGATTTTTAATTAATTTAATTATCGATTTTTTAATTCGTTCACATCGATTTGAATCGATTAATAAATACCCCTAGTTCAAGGCGCGCCTTCCACAGGTTTCAGGTTTATAAACATTGGCATTACTTTCTGTCGCATCAGCAAGAAAATAATATTTGCCACAAAGACTTTTTTTTAAATGAGACCCATTAATTTAAAAAAAATAGTAATTTATTTTTGTATTCCGAGAAATACACTATATGTGAAAACCTATTTTTGTAGTAAAAATAAAAATAGTTTTCTGTATAAATATATATAAAAATTTTGCACATTGGTATTATATTTTTTTTTTCACATGATAGTATCTCATTTACAACTATTTAAAAAAATTATTTATATTGAGGTTTATTTTGACAACACTGTTAGAAGTAATTAATATATTGATAGATTAAAATAAAAATTAATTTAAAATAATAACTAAAATGAGCACTTAAAATATACGAGGAAATATAAACTCGTGAATTTATTTTTGTAATTAGCATGTCCTATTTTCTGCAAGTACAGACAAGACAAACTAATTAAATCAGTGGGTTGAAGTAATCAAATACATAGAACCGCAGTTAGTCGATTCAATTTATTCTAATGTAGATGGGACTTTACTAGTCCTTTGGTACGTACGAGGATCCACCCTAGTTTACGACTTTACCTTTACCATCACAAAACATAACATGCAGATGCATGTATGGTGGCTGAAGCCTCAATTAAAACGTGTAAATGACGGCGTATCAGCAGCCCTCATTATTATTATTATTATTATTATTATTATTATAAGAACACAATTACTTTAAGAAGAAAACACATTTCTCTGTCCACTCTCATTTGTTCCTCATATGATTCTCTATTTTGATTTGTTTTCCACTCATCCTTATCAAATGACTTGGCATATTCATTGTCTTTTTAGGGTACGTACCCGATAACATTAATGTCTATTCCTAGGGGCCCTTTAATTTACCCAATAAAACAGGGGAATTATGGAGGTCTCACCAATTAATTTATGTTTATTATGTACGTATATCTCTTAATTAATTTATATATATCTTGGTCGAGTTTGATTTGTTGTTTGCTTTTATTTGACCATATTATTATACATACACAAGTCAGTTACATTTATCGTCTCGTATCTACAGAAATCCATATCGTGAAGTTTATTAACTGCCCTGTCTTTTGTAGAATTGCATTATATTTCAAGACATTATTTGCCAAATAGGTGTATCGTAGCCTCGTAGGTATGAACGTATCTGGATTCTTGATATGGAGTATATATCTTGTCTTAATGAATGCCGTTTGCCAACTAATTATAATATGGGCTTCAAATCCACAAAATCTGATCATGTTTAACATGAACTTACTTTCAATTAATTAATTCGTCAGCAAAATATTACATATATTGACACATTTTGATTGACTCGATCGACTATGTCTCTGTCTACATACAATACTCAATTAGTACACAAATGAATGACTCGTATTAAATTATTAATAAACCAAAAAAAAAAGTATTGAAAAGAAACAAATGAATAAATATTAATCCATATTGTATCCCAAATTTATCATTATTATTTTTTAATGAAACGATCAAAGAAAATTACACTGTACTATAACTTTAGTAGTCAATTGCGCCATTGACGTCGTCCCTGTAAAATCATTATGAATGATTATTAGGTTAACCAAAAATTAATATTCACTTTCTCTTTTTCAGTATTCATGTAATATTGAATACTCAAAACATCATTTATCAAAAATTAAGAGAGTAATATACCTAACTATTCACCTAAGAGTTCAAGTTATTGAGTGAAGGCTCAGACTTATGCTATTTTTATATGTCTTTTGGCCTTTCTCTTTTTTTCTTTTTCTTCTTTTTTTTCTTTTGTCTTTTAATCTATCCCTTTTATCACTTTCTTTTATGTTGCTTCTTTTGTTTTTCCCTCTACTGCAGAATCCAAAAAATTTAATTGTCTATTTATGCATCCAATTTTGTAACATAACACATTTTCATTGACTCAGAAAAAAAATATATAAGAAGGGGTAAATTCATCAATTGCTCGTGATACCATGTCAAATAATAGAATCTGTATATTTCATCAATTGCACAGAAGTAATTATATACACTAATTTCGGACTTTAATCAAGCCACACATCAAGAAATAAAAAATAATCCAAAATCAGAGAATTGATATCTCGTATCAATCAATTCTAATTATAATTAATTCCTAGGATACAACTCAACATTGATTTCAAATTCTCAATTCAACAAGTTCAAACTCGTGATCACTAAAATTTTAATACCATGTAACATTAATGCTTTTTTTTTTTTTTTTTTTTTTCTATTTTTAGTAAGTGATATACTGAGTATTCATCAATAGTACGAGAGTAATGAAATTATTTTCTTACCTAAGATCATTTATCCTATACCTCATTTATGATTAATGGCATATGAACTCTTATTGAAGCACCGGAAATATGCTCCTCCAGCCCTCCCCCCACATCAAAATTTGGTCCTCCTCTTTCTCTCGACATGCTTGCATAAGTTGGGTTGACTAATAGCTAAATTTAAGCCCAATTCAAGGTATATTGATTATGATGCAAGCAGTGCTTTTTGGTTCAGTGCTAATTACATGAATATATGGAGAATGTTTACCTAATATCCCTTTCAAGATAGATAGGATAATGATTAATTATACTGTATTTAGATAAGGACACAATAAACAATAATATATGACTTGAGTTGATGACATAAACTGCCACCCGCCGACCATTATATTAGTTAACAGATAACTATACAGGCAATGCAAGCACTTGTCTGCACTGTAATGAAATCAACGCCTCCCATTATAATTGGAAAGGAACTGCGTTAAAGTCTAAAAGTTGTTTATAGTTTTTAAACCTATCTTAATTATCTTTGTCCTTCAACGTTTTCAGCTAAAGTCCTTTTCATAAGTGCTTCTTCTTTAATTTAACAATTTTAAATTGAAGTCAGAACCCTGAATCCATAAACTAACTCAGCCTAATAATTAAGCCGCGTTGGCTGCTTCCCATGCTTAATTTTTTACTCATTGGAGTTTTCCACGCCCAATCTAATGCCTAAAACGTGATTTATTGGGATATGACGACTCCTTCCACTTTTGATATGTCTCTCGAGTTTTCTTCTCTCTCTCTCTCTCTCTCTTGCTTATGTGTCTTGTCTATAGGAAATGTTTCGTTTTCCATAACCGTTGTCTCTTCAGCTAACTCCACTTCACCGAATTTGGCAGCCAATCACTTTAAAGTCACCTTAGGAAAATGGGGCACGTAGATTAAGAACACGAACAACTTAGTTAAAAGTGGTACAATCATTTTTGATCAATCAATAGACGGATTAGTATGAGCAGATAGAACAATATATTATTTTATAACCATAACATATTTAGTAGAAAAACATTTTCTGCTTTCGTAAGTGTTTCATGAAAACTATTTTGTCCTCGTCAGCATTTTTCTTATATAATTTAATCATACAAAAGATGGATCAGTGCTTGATCCACATATAGCATGATTATAACAGCCAAATTAAGATTTAAATAATACCGTACTTAAGTTAGTTGAAACACGTCAATAAATTAATCCGGAGGTTTTTAATCCACATCATTTTTATTCTCCAATTATTAATTAAAGAGATTAATATTTCTCATATTGTAAGAGATAAAATTATCTCATATACACGCATAAAAATATGTGAGGTTCATGTGGGGCTATGTGAAGAAAATATAAAAGATAAAAAAAAAAACCTATACACTTTTATATATACCTGTTAGATAAAATTATCTCCTGCAACATAATAACATTTATCCATTAATTGAATATGAGTGTTCCTTCCACGAGTACTATTATATATATTGAATAGAATTATCTCCAAAAGGTAGGAAGAAAAAGCTGAATTGGTAGGACCAGATAGGCTTATAAATAAGCTACCCAAGACTACCACTTCCACAGACTCACACAACATATAACTTCTTATCTCAAACATTACAATGGCCAAGGTTCATCCTCAGGAACACACATCTTCTCCTTGCCTCACTTCTAAAAGAGAAACATATACTCTATGGATGAAATCACTAGTGTTCCACTCTAATGGTTGCACTGTCTATGATTCAAATGGTGAGATTGTTTATCGAGTTGATAACTATGACAGAAAGGGTAGAAGGGAAGTTAACCTCATGGATCTGCAAGGCAAAGTTCTCTGTACCATAAAGAAGGTACTTCCATTCTTCTGATATGTAATAACAATTGTATCGAGACATTGTTGTTGGTATTTTTTGGCCTTTTAAATTATTATATGAATATGATTTTAACCTCTTCCTTTTAACTATATTTTTTGCAGAGGTTACTTGCCTTTGGACATTGGGAAGGCCACAGAAGCTGCAATTCTAATAGTAGAATTCAGGAGCAGCCATGGTTTCAAGTTAAAAGATGTAATAAGATGATCACAGGGAAAGTAGCTTGTCAGATTACAGTGGGGTGCCAAAAGTATTGCATAGTAAGAATCAGTGGCAAAGCAGCATCATTTAGGATAGTGAATATAGATGGACTGATAGTTGCAGAGGTAATTTATCTTTTTATATATTTTAATTTCCATTTATTAATAATTACCAATATGCTTTTCCAATCATGTTTATATATATATATATTGAAATTGTAGTTTGGTATTGATGTTATGGTTAATTTTGAAAATATGCAGGCAAAGCAAAAGCACTCAGCCTCAGGGGTTGTCTTGAGTGATGATGTTCTAACCTTGGATTTGGCTGCGGGCACAGATCATTCCCTTATAATGGGTTTAGTCACGGTGTACGGAATGATATGCGGGATAATGTAAATAATTGCCAATTGGTCCTTTTCATATGAGTTATACACAATTTATTTGGAGGCCCTAGTACAGCAAGCAGTGTTTCGCCTTTGTACCTGAATATTATGTGAATCCTCCTATCAGTCACTTTTGTAAATTTTCTGAATGACAAGTTTTGTAATCAGAATTTGGCTCAGTTTGTATAAAAGATCATGAGCTCCATCAGGATCATAGAGATTTATGTATACATATACTGTTTACGGAGGAAAAAGACATATGTACATTATATATTTGGTATTTTACCAAAAGACATATATTTTTCTGGGTACAAATCATGCCAAGTTTAAATAACATTCACCATTAACCTAGTTAAATCTAGTTGAATGGTTCTTTAACATGATTTTGGGGGTAAATTCATTACATGATATTTTTGTGTTTGGATTGACCTACCTTGACATTCATGTTTGTGTTATAAATTATTTGTATCGTGTTAATCTATATAATAGGGGAGATATTTTGAGGCTAACCGATGTTTATCCGTTAATAAGCAAAATATTTTGAGGCTAATAATGACTTATATAAATCAAGGGATAAGTTATTTTACTTACTTTTTTTTCTACCTTTACGGCTTTACCTACCATTCTCCAACACTGTTAGATCAGAATCTAAAGAAGAGAAAGAAAGATGAATGTTAATTAAGATGATGATCTAATAGACTTTTAGAATGATAAGCAAAGATAAGAAGAAAAAAAGATAAGGAGAATACCCTATGATATAAATTTATATTTGTGTTCATATCAAAGATTTTATATAATTTTTTAGGGTTTTATAAGAGTTATGTTGTAGGAAAAGTGATTGTGTAATGTTATAGAAATTCGTTTTGCGTGTCGAAATTTTCTTTCTTTCTTTTTTCTTCAAAAAGTGTGGACCCCACAAAATGTTGTGTGTGTAGGAAAATTTGTTGTGTCATGTTAAATAACAAATGCAAATCCCAATTTTTTATTCGAATCGTATTTATATTAAGTATTTTCATGTATTTGTGTCAAATCTAAATCCGGACACGGATCGTACTTTATCCATGCTTTAGGTTTAATTAATTTTGAAATTCTCAAAATTCTATAATTTTAAGCATTAAATCTCAGAATAAATTAAATGAATTTAGCTAAGATGAAGAGGAGGCCCTTGTTTAGCAACTTAAACTTGATGATATATATATACATGAGCGAGGATCATTTTACACCAGTGTAAGTTATATTCTCAATTTCATCCGTTGATCCCACTTATATTTAAGAGTTAAAAATTTTTAATAACGTGAGCCATTAGATACAAGTGGATCAATGGTCAAGATTGAGTGTAAAACTTATAACTCTTACACCAATATAAAAATATCTACCCCTATATATATATATTCCGAGGAGCACATAGTGACAATCTGTAACTGTCAAGAATTAGGAATACGATGGATACTGGTGAATTCTCATTCATTTTCCATTAATCATCCTCAGCCTTGAGGGAATTATATATAGTGGAATAAAATAACTACTCCTAATTTTAAGAAACAAAAATATAAACAACTAACAGAAGATACAAACAGCACTAACAACCTAACAGTAATTTTACTAACCAAATCCTATGTTCCTTATCTCTATTAGATAGCAACAGATTACAACAAACATTTAAAATACAATTAACAAATCTATTCTTCAACAGTAACCAACTCATAAAATGGTAACTCTTAATAAAACGCAATCAGCTCCTATTAAATACAAAACACATTCAACTCCTATTAAATACAAAACGCAATCAGCTCCTATTAAATACAAAACGCAATCAATCAATGCTTTCACGCTCATTTGGTATATTTAATCGATTATATATAAGTTTTAATCGATTAAATCAATTAAGAGGGAGATTTAATCGATTAAGAGGGATATTTAATCGATTAAATCTTCAAGTCAATCATTTTTGCCAGTTTTGACCATTTAATCGATTAAATCTTCAAGTTAATCGATTAAAGAGGGGCAGATTGGTTGGTAGATAGTTTCGGATAAGGGACAAAATAGTTATTAATTAATTAATGAAGGACAAAAGGGTCAAAAAGCCTATATATATATGGGGTTTGATTTTCTTATGTTGAATGAGAATTCAATTCTCATGTTGTAGAGATAAAAAACATGTGGAACCCATGTGTTAGAAAAAATTATATGTAGGACCCATGTTAGCACGAAAATCGAAGGGTGTGTAGGAAAATTTTAATTCTCATGTTGAATGAGAATTATAAAACCCTATATATATATTGCATCGTGAGAATTTTTATTGAAAAATGTCATTATATGTTCTTCCTCAGTTCATTGTTTTGAAAATGGGTTTTATTTTTTCTCTTCCTTTCTTGGTTAATCCAAAAAAATAAAATAAAACTCATAACATCAAATACATTATTATAATATCACCTCATTAATTAGCTCTTCTTTCTTTATTTTGTCATTTGTTTTCCCTTTGGTAGAACACAGCAAACTCAATGATAATATATGCAAGTGACACATAATATTGCCTCATACGATTATAATATGAATATCAACACAGCTGTTGCAATAATTCCCCCTTTCTAGATGACCATGTCGTTAATGAATATATGTGAACATAAACATGTGTATGCCCTGATAATGTTTATTCTATTTTGTGTGGGAAACATGTCTATCGGCGACTATTATAATTTTTGTAAGGAGATTCGTGTAACAAGTTTGTAAAGAAAAATAACAAGATATATGCTTATTGAGTCAGAAGGTACATCGTTGCAGTTCCACCCGTCTACACCTACGAGCCTTGTTACTGAGTATGAAGTCTAAAAAAGTATAGGCAAATCTCGTTTAGAAAGGTTAATAATCCTAAATAAGTAAAATAGAATGTAAAGAGTTATATTTATAAATTTTTTATTTATAAATTATATTATGTATTTTCGACAGTATACAAAGGTTATATTATGTACTTTAGGAAGTATATAGTGTTATTTATAAAAATTTGTAAATGAATCTTTCTCAAATAGAATACCATAATAAGGATGAACAAAGTCTTGAGTTTCTTCCTTAATGTTAAGCCCAAAATTCATCGAGCGGTTTGAAAAACCCCAAGGCGTTTGGTACAAGGTATTTTTTAGTATTCTTGAGAAACTGAATTTTTCTAAATTTTTAATTTTTGAATATTATCGTAAATGGAATGTTTTCATCATATTTCTGAAAATCGAAATTTCTAGATAAAAAAAAATTTCTTCTCTACCAAACGCCTTAAATCCTGAACTTTCTTCCTTTCTTATAAATGGATTAGGTGTGGGATGGAGGCTAAGGTTGGTTTGAGAGATTTTTGAGAGTTTTGTGAAAAAAAAGCTTAAAGCTTTGATTTTGAGAGCACCTCTACAGGGAAGTTAAAAGAGTGAGACCTCTCTATGAAAGTTTGAGAGAATACCAGGTGAGGTTTGAATATACCATCATTGTTGGTGAAGTTTGATCGTTTGTAACCCATTATTTTTCATAGTGGACTTTTGATCCTGGACTAGTGTCTCGAGAATTTTTACTTCTTCACATTGAATTTTTTCATGTTAGAATCTACTTGTGCTCTTCTCTATCTCTCTCCTATGTGTTTTTCGTTTTTTTGCTGATCTGATAATATAGGTTGACCTCTGATTGACTAGCCGAGCTCCTAACTCAACCTTTAACTTTCCCAAAGACTTCTTAGTCGAGATTGAGGAACCGTGTTCCAAACACAAAGTACCCTAAAAATTCCCTTAGATAAATATATTTAAAAAAAAAATATGTCCTTTCGTTTGCAATCGTGTTGCACAACTTACACATTGGTTACAGATTACAAGTCAGAAGTCAAATATGTATAACAAGAAAGCAATATAAAATACAAATGCAGCTGCAATCATACAAATGCAGCTGCAATCAACATATACACATGGGTGGATGTACTCTGCTGTCAGTGATGTATATAGGATGCCCACAATTCATAGCCACAGGCACTATTTTATTTTTAAGATGGGAACGTGTTACATGCTTTAGACATATGATATACATTGTTTGATAAATTTCGGGTTAAATTTAGCTTTGGCTTATTGTATATATGGATGTGATTAGCAGTCTAAATGAGTTGAGTTATTTGTGAATTACTCGAATTTATTTTATTAATTATTTAATTAAATTCGTTTCTTTAAACAAATAATCCCAAGCTTGAATTTATACTCATTTATATATAAACAAGTCAAACTCCAATTTTATAAACCTTTCATTAATGAGTTTAGTGTTTGTCATTTTAAATGTCATAAGCTATGTCATTCTAAGAGAGATAGACACAGAAAAACAGAAATCATGGGAGAGAGAAAGTGGATGGTTTTTTTTAATTTAAAATTCAAATAATTTTTTTTCTGTGTCTGTCTCTCTCTTAAAATGACATAACTTTATGTCATTTAAAATAACAACCACTTTTCCCTTCATTAAAACACATAAATAATTCGTGTGTGTATATTACTTATTTTATATAACAACATTTTTTATACAAGCCAAACATAAACTGTTTACATCCTAGATGTTACCGTTAGTCTTGACTCTTGACTACCCCTTTTGTTGAGAATAATATTCTTTCATACTCATTCATCTTTCCAAGGAAAATTATACTCGTTTTCTTTTAAGTTTGGTTATATTGCACTTGATACTCTTTCAATTAAGAAAATTACATTATTCCCCCTTAATGTATGGGGTATGATATTATAATAATCAATTAGGGTTACTATCAATATTATTACCAATCAATTTCACCGTAGAATCGATTATGTTAATTCAACGATTATATTTATTTTTATCTTTGTACGATTATAATTCCCCACATTTAATGTGAAAGCATTAAATATGGAAAATCATAACCACACAAAGGTGAAAATAAATATTAAATATGAAAAAATCATAATCATACAAAAATGAAAATAAATATAATCATTAGATTAACATAATCGAACTACCGGTAAAATTGATTGATAATAACATTGGTAGTAACCCTAATTGGTTGTTATAATATCATTTCCCCAATTTATATTACTTTATTTCTTCCACTCAAGCATTTCCTTTTGAACTGAATCTTGAGTGCCATAAAAGAATCTGTATATAAATGCAAAAAAGAAATTGTATACAAATTATATTCAATAAAAGAACTGCTCATTTGTTATACATCAATTGAAGGATACAATAAAAGAATCTGTATATAAACGCTAAAAAAGACACAATTAAAGAACTGATCGTCACCCAGATCTTACTGGAACATAATCATAGTGAGAGAGAGCACTATTGGTAACTAATTAACACTTAAAAACATTACAAACTGCCTTGATAACTATGTAAAATGGTACCCTTGTATGGCACACATCTAAGGTTTAGAAGGGGATAAAAACTAAAAAGAAGGCTAAGATAAAGGAAGAAAATGCATATATCTTGCTAGCGCAACCATTAATTTATTCATTTTAATCTGTTTCCAGTGCCGAAACCACACTGCAGGCCTCCAACTATCAAGAAGTTATTAGCCCTTCCGAGTATTCTTGAGGTTTCTTACAGTCATAACAAGCTTTTGTCTTTCACCTTCTACCTCTGCAAATTTGAGACTCATTTCTGAGTATCTTCCTTGCATCTCTTTCAGTTCGGTTTCCATTGACTTGTTTCTTTCCTTCAATGATGATAATTCATTTAAAATGTCACAAAGGCTGTCATCCCCATTATTGTCCATTATGGATCTTTCTGCTTCTTTCTCTGTCAAACACCCATTACTGCCATGACCATAAAATGATCAATAATGAAACAATTTAATTGCTTGAATTCACAAATTTACAAGTAACAGAGACAAACTAAATAGTCACAAATGTTACTAAACTATGAAAAAAAGGGACATGGAAGTCATACCTCTTGATTAATGACACTGCAACCTCGTTTTCTTCAGACACAAATGTAGTATCTTTGAGATGCTCAACTTTACTTCTATCTGATGTAGTAACACTGATACCCTCCTCAACAACCTGTTTGAAGCGCATGCCAATGTATATTTATTGCAGATATACAATTCAATAATAAAAGCTTAATCCAGATACTAAGAAAGACTGGCTTTGTAATTTAAACTTCATGAACCAAAAATTCTATGAAACTTTGCCTACGACAAATCATAAAATGAAAAATTAGTTGAATTTTTTTCCCCCCATCATTTCTAAATGCATTTTGATGTATATGCCAATGGATTAAGGGACTCAATTGTTTCATTAACCTTGGCAAATTGCTCAAGCTTTGCACTGTATTAATCATTACATGGTTATACCTTATCCAAAGCAATGCTCTGATCGAATTCCTCCACTTTGTGCTCCAGTTCCTCAATTTTAGATTGGAGTTCCCTTTCCTTCTCCAAAAATGAAGTTGTTGACGTTTCCAAGACAGTTTCCTTTGACTTTATCAGGCCCTGCCATAAAGAACAACTATTTTTATTAATTTGCTCCCCTCAATTGCCACGAGAAAATTAGTGTTATCTTTAGAAAATGCAGAGGAGTGAAAAAATGATGGGCAGTTAAGTGAAAATATCAATAGAGGAATAAACATTTGGGTATCAAGCATTTTTCTCAAAGGAACTATCTCTTCAGACTACTGAGATTTGAAAAGTTACCTCAAGCATTTTTATATTCTCCCTTAGATTTGTCATTTCTTTTGAATTCTGAGAAATTGAAGCAGGTTTTTTGTTCTTCGGAATGGCTTTAGTTCCATCAGAAAGTTGTGTGCGTCCATTACTATCCTTGAACCTCTTCTCAGTGTTGGTTAATGCATCGTCCTTGCTCTTTATTTCACCCTTTAGCTGGAAAACTTGATTTCTTAATTTTTCTTTCTCAGTCTCATCCTCAATAAGAGAATGTTTCAAATCAGTACATTGAGCTCTAAGTGCCTCTAACTCTGAATGCAAGAGTCTCTCCGCTGTCGCTTTTTCATCCTTGATATGCATGATCCTATTAAGCTCATCATAAGAACGTTCTGCTTCCTTCTTCAATAAAGCAATTGTAGTCACCAGCTCATTTCTTTCCACCGTTCTTCTCTGTGACAGAGTCTCATATTCCTCAAGCAATTTCTTCATAAGTTCCAAGTCAGTTCTTAAGACTTCTTTTTGTTCAACTTGCTCAGAAAAGCATGAAATCTCTGCTTTAAGCCTTTCATTCTCAGCTTTTAGCATCTGGATCTCATCAGAGAAATCTCTACTAACTTGTTCCTCATGCTTCTTGTGATTTTCAAGCTGGTTGGACTTGTCCTCAATTTCCAACAACATCTGTTGTATCTGAACTGTCATCAAATCTATTTGGTTGGAAAGTTCATTCAATTTTACCTCAGAATCAGCTTTAACTGACTGAAGCTCTTCTTTGACTTCATGCAGCATTTCTTCTAGTAGCCTTTTCTGCGCACGAAGTTCACTTGCTTCTGTCAGTGCCCTCATGTTAGCCTTCTCATTTGCATCAAATGTAGAGGCCATTTGCATTGAAAGCCTTCTAAATTCTTCTTGAAGCCTCTCAGCAGTATTAACATTTTGAAGTCTGGTCTTTCGCAAAGCTTCCTCTGCTAGGATGGCTCGTTGCTCCTGCTCAACTTTGTCACGTGTCAGAGCATCTAGATCAGCTTCAAATCCTTGTGCTTGTTTCTCCAGTTCATCCTCTAATCTGCTGATTTGGGTTTCAAGTACCTTGATGGTCTCCAGAGAATTTGAGAATTCTTCTGACTGTTTCTTGAGTTGATTCGACAATTCCTCCTGCTCAACTTTGTCACGTGTAAGAGCATCTAGATCAGCTTCAAATCCTTGGGCTTGTTTCTCCAGTTCCTCCTCTAATTTGCTGATTTGGGTTTCAAGTACCTTGATGCTAGCCAGAGAATTTGAGAATTCTTCCGACTGTTGCTTGAGTTGATTTTCCAGACTCTTGATATGGTTTTCAATGTCATATACAGCACAAGGAGGAGATGAGCATTCATACTGCATTTTTAACTGTTCTTGCAGTTGGCTTTGTTCCAGCTTGTATGCAATGTCATGGTTTTCCTGTTTCAATATCTCATAGTCTAGTGCAAGCTGCTCAATCTGCATCTCTAAGTCATCTTTGTCTCTCCTATACATCTCTACCTCACCATAGAGATCCATAATTTTTTGCTCAAGTAAGTGTGTCTCCTTGGCATTGCTGTGCTCCTTAACAAGCTCATCCAATTCTTTCTGTTCTTCATCGTCATCTGTTTCACAATTAGGGAGGTTTCCCCCTAGCTCATGGGAGCTTTTACTCTCTTCATGTTTACTGGAAAGACTACATATTTCCTTATTTTTCTCCTCCAACATTTCATCCAGATCCTGCACAGCAAGAACTAGTTCAGAGTTTGATTCTTGTGTCTTCTTTAACTGTAATCGAAGATTTGCATTCAGCTCCTTCTCATAATTCAATTCTTGTCTGATTTCTTCAACAAGGGTACGAAGATCCCCACTTTCCAATTGTGACCTGTTACTCACTTTGGCCTCATCCATTCGCTTGTGAAAAGACCTGTGACTGTCACATTCTGTCTTGAGTGCATCTCTTTCGTCTTTCAAGCTAATGATTTCCTTTGAGAGCTCCTGTCCTCTTTTGCTTTCCTTTACAATTTGCTTCCTAAGAGTTTGTAATTCCAAGTCGGACACATTCACCTGCCTAGCCAAAGCAGCAAGTTCAGCCTTGAGTCTTTCAATCTCCATATCAGATGCCTGATTGGATCTTTCCCTAGGAAGTGCATCCTGAGAACAGTTTGTTGAATCGTCTGTACTCAAACCGTGTTCTGAACCAGCAGACCAGTCCCAGTTTGATCTCTGATGGACATCATACATTGATGCTGAGGTATTTACAGCAGGTTTTTGAGGCTCAGAAATGTGGCTCACATCTGAAAGAAAACCATTTGTGTTAGGGTGGATGCTAGTATTTCTCGGTCCAAGTGCTCTGGGAGTATCAAGTCCAGAGCTGCCATCAGAACTTGACAATGTAATGTCAGATCCACTAGATGTCCTACATTCAGCACTCAATTCAGCTCTATTGGTGTTTGCTTTCGCCGACACGTCCTATGAAACACAAAAAAGAGAAAAAATTTAACAATTTCCATGAAATTTTAACTGCAAGTATAGAAGAAGGGAAGAAAATGGATAACTCTTGCACATAGAAAGGACATGACTTTTGAACTATGTACTGAGGAAATTTTCAATCATGAAAACATGATAGTAAGTTATACAAAGACAAACAAAATATTCAAAGAAAAAATCATTTTATAGACTGGGATATATATAAGCGAGCAAAAATAATCCCTAGGCCCAATGAGTGAAACCATACTTCAGAAGAATCACTTTTAGTGCTTTCATTTGTATCGCCATTGCTTAAATAGGTCCTCAGGCTCCTATCATGGGCTTTTAGTTTGGCATCTTCACATTCCTCTTCTTCTCTGCAAATGTTATTTAACAAGTAAGAAACCCCTTCATAAAAAACAAACGAATTTGAGGCAAACTCTACAACCTGAAAAGGAAACATAACCATGATAATCCCACTTATACCTTTTATCATTATTTTCTTGTAGTCTCTGGATTGATACCTGTCCATTAAACAACAAATCAGAAATACTGAAATCAAGGATTCTACTCAATTTTTTGATTAGGTTTCCCTGAAATTTCAAGTAGTGTGATCCCTTGGTAGAAAAAAAAAATCAGAAAATGGGAGAGACCAAATACTAACATGCAAGACAGCATCACAATGAGAATTCTTGATGGGAAAAGAGAGAGAAGAGAGCTTTGTAGCCTCTGCATAATCAGCAAAGTCTATAGAAACTTCCCCAAAGGAGCTAGCTTTGGATAATCCCTACACAGAATAGAACCAAGAATCTAGATCACATTGACATAACCAACCAAAAATCAAAAAGAGTGAAAATTCATACCGTTGAAACCACAAAATGATATATTCTCTCACTGAATTTCCCAGTCTTAGGCTCCTGAATAAACTTGACTGTTTCGTAGACAGGATTCTCCCATCTACAAATTCCACCACGAACTGTAGCTTTCTCTAACCTCGTAGTTGGTTTTCCAATGTCACCAGGAACTATAGAGAGCACCAAAGCATCCACCCCAGATTGCAGAATCTGAAAATACCATTATCAATAATCATTCTCATTATAAAAATGAAGCAAATGTAACGAATCAATGAATGAATCATGTGAAGAAGCTACCTGAGTGACATGGAACTGGAGTTTGAAAACAGCTTTGACCTTGTTTCTCTCACTCCTCCATCTGAACATCTTCGCTCACACCAATCCACCGACATATGCAGAGAGAGAGAGAGAGAGAGTAACAAGACAGAGAATTGAAGTGAAGTGAAGGTTGTGAAATCAAACCCAGTTTCAGAATAAGTTAAGGAAAAGCAAAGTGAGGCTCTCGCGGGTGTTCAAAACTTGAAACCAAACACAAACAAAGTCAGTAGATCTCATCTCATCATGCATTGCTGTTCTTGTCTTGTGTCTTTTGCAACAGTTTTTAATAAACCAGATGATACCTGCGTCATATGAATAAATCATATTCAATTCGATTGGAACCTTCTACCTATAATTCATTTTTTATTCAGGTATTAACTTCATTAAAGAAGTTAATTGGTGAAAAATATTTGTTTTTCCTAGAGCTGAAAAATACAAAAATTGTTTTTTATTATATTATATGGTCTTTCTTTTAGGAGAGGTGACATCAATAATAATGATAGCCTTGTATGTTGCCTTTTTTTTCCTTCTTATTATAAAATTTCTTAAAAAAAAATTACCTGCATAGCGAATATATTTGATTGATTTTCCACATTCTAACGTACTAAAAGTCCTGAAAGGTATTTTTAATAAAACTATTGACAGGGACGGGTGAAGAGGAATTTCGATACAGACAAAAAATGAAATAAAATGAGTCGTTGGAACAGTAACAATATATTGAATGAGTAATGAGGTACATATATCATATATGCACGGTTGCCACTTTTGCTCAATGAAAAATAAAATTCGAAAATTAGTGTCACGAAATCAAATCTCGAGTGTAATGCTAATATTTTAGATTATTAATATGGGTGAACTTTAGTATATTAATGTAATTGTGCTTAAAAATAATGATATGAACCAAAACTCTATAGAAAACTCTTTGAAAAAGGGAACACTGACCAAAATATCACTGTTCATTAACTTTTTTACCTAAATGTCACGCGAATAGTGTTATTTCTCAATATGTCACGGGAGTAAGTTCGCTATCCTGTTTAGCGAACTCGGTTTGCTGACGTGTCATATTTTTAATGGATAACAAATATTAAATTTTAAAAAAATAATAATAAAAAAATGAAGGTCGCCTACCATGTAGGCGAACTTGGTTAAAATCAAGTTGGTGTCCACTAGAAACGTGACACGTCAGCAAACCGAGTTCGCTACACCGGATAGCGAACTTGCCTCCGTGACAGATTGAGAAATAACACTGTTCGCGTGGCATTTAGGTAAAAAAATGAATAAATAGTAATTAAAATGTTACTGTTCCTTGAAAAAGAGCATGGTGAAATGGCAAGTTAAACGTTGACTTTATATTTCAGCAAAGTAATAGCTGATACAAGTATATTGCAGGGAATATGAATTTTTTTATGATGAGAATCTAAAAATCTCATTTTGAAAAGAAATTGAGTGACCCTTAAGTGTATCTCTAAGAGTCAATTCATAGGATAAGCTTGATAAAATTAAGGGTGGATCAAGGGAGGGTTAGCATTGGCAATCGTCCCTTCCTAAATTTTAATTTGTTTATTATTTTATATATAAAATAATATATATTTTAATAATAATAAGTTATTAATACTAATAATTAATCATTTCCTCAAAAATATTTATAATAATTAATATCTTCTATTAGTCTTAATAAAATTTATAATTTTAAAATTTTATTTTTCTCCCTATTATAAAAAAATCCTACACCTATCACTGGATGAATCTGGTCCAGCACAATAGGTCTATTGTGATTAATTCGTGCAAATTAATTTATGCTTAGGAGTACTTGGAATCATTTTGTGTATTGTATTAAAAACTTTATTCCGTGTATTCAATTTTTGTCCTTAAGAAAAAAATACCACGTGGATGTTTTGAACCAGGGAATTTTTTAACATCTTTAATTGAATTGCACAAGTGCCGAAATATGGCTTTTCAAAGGAAGCTTAGCAACTGTCCTTTCAGGACGACAATGTTAAACCAGATGCCTTGGTACTTCATAGAGATGAGGAGTTTTGATGCAAATGCTACTAATAGATGCGTCTCGAGCATAAAAGCTTTAACCGAGTATTACAATATGTATAGTCACAGTTGCAATCATATGATTATTTATATAAGACTATATTGGTCTCTGACACTGACCACCTCTTAATTGTGCCAATATTTTAGGAATATATATTAATTATTAAGACAATTGTGAATAATCTCGCTCACAAGAAACCCCCAAGGCCCCAAGGAACAAGGCCCTCGATGAACTTTGCGTGATAAACTGTCCTCACTGAGCTAATTCTATCCTTCATAAATTGTGCAAAATGCTCTCAAATAAAATAGCCTAAAGTTTTCTTATGAAGACCAAAGGAGGGTGCTTTTACGAAAAATGTGTTACATTAACGTAACTATTCATTGAGAAACCATATATACAGATAATTATGTCATTGATAACAATAATTCGATTCAGTTTTATTGGATTCTTTCATTAAGTCATTATCATTATATTGGATGCTTGAATTACGAGGGCCCACTAAAGTATGTAGTTTTCGGTATTTTCTTCGCTTCTTTTAATTTCTTGCAAAATTAGACAACCACTGGCCCCCACAAATGATCATACTAAGCAATCGAGCTTGCACCGCATCAGCCTTTCCCGCCACATTAACCTTTGTGACTTTTTATGGATATGCATGTATACACGGTTTATATCACCTAAAAAATGTTCGTTTTATATTTATTTTGCTTTTAATTTGTGCAGATCTCTTCTATCCCATCCCAAAGTCATGGCTATTTTAGTTGATGATGATGATAATAATAATAAATTTGTTTATGTTATTTTTATGAATATCTTTTCATAATACACATTTATACAGAATTCCATGCTTAGAATAAATAAACATGGGGATCCAATAATTGATCAGACATCGTTTTGTTAAAAATATCAAGCCAAAATTTTATAGGATATTTCAAATTGCTTGCCATTGTTCGTAATAGACAGTTCAGCTGCTGAAGAATATTCCGATGGATGATTGGGTTGGGTTATTATGCGATAAATTACTGAAATAAAAAAATGAAAAGCTCAACGATCAATAATTTTCATTTTTCCTTTTAAAATGATGAAAATGACATCTTATATGCTTACGAATACTTCCCTAAATACGCGTTGTCTATTTATATCTCCTATCAATAATTTACATATATTTTTTAAAACTACCCTTACCTTAATACTTTTTTTAAATAACGTTTAATTTTAATTAAATATATTAATATCTGTCTATTCACACTTCACAATATTAGCTATTTATATTTTGGGTTCGTTTTTCCTGCCGTTAGTGCAGATAAGTTATCTGAAGTAAGTCCGATACGATGTCGTTTTGGAGCAAAAATCGTGGTGTTTTTCTCATTTTAATTTATTTCAAGGTTATTATAGTCTTTATAATTATAATTTTTTAATATTTCAATCTCAAAACGACGTCATTTTGGGAGTAAATGCAAATAACTTTATCTGCAGTAAGTAACTGCAGAAATATTTTTCTATTATATTTTTGCTTATGTAATCAGAATCTTACAATTTTTTGTATTTACATTATTTAAAATGATTTTTATCTTTCTTTTATCTTGTTAGTTTGGTAATCACTCGTTTAAAAATTATGAATTTAAATTAAGTCGTAATCAATTGTGAATTATCAATAAGAATGTTAGTAGACAATTACGATTACCAATTAACTCACCTTTTAAATATGTGTAATTTTTTGAAGAGTTTTATAAGAGTTATGTTGTAGGAAAAGTAATTGTGTAATGTTATAGAGATTCGTTTTGCATGCCGTAATTTTTTTCTTTTCTTTTTTCTTCAAAAAGTATGGGCCCTACAAAATGTTATGTGTGTAGGAAAGTTTGTTGTGTCATGTTAAATGACAAATACAAACCCCTTTTTTAAAATGTATCATCTTTCATGTTAAAATTTCATATGACTTTTGGTGATATAAAGTTTTTGTATCTATCTCTTTTTTCATCAATGATAATTAGATCTTACTTGTTTAAAATATATGACGAGAAAGATAAATATAAAAACTTTACATAATCAAATCGTGTAAAATTTTAAATTAGTGCACAATAACAACTTGTCAAAAATATCTACATATATTTCAAAGATAATCGTATTGTTGAAGTTTTCGAGTACATTTATTTTACTTATTCAATAGATCGAGGTGAGAAATGTTCAAGTGCAGAAATACAGTACACCCATAATTAAACCTGGCATATGCCTATATATAGTCTATGTATTTTATTTTATTTTATTTTATTTGCATTAAATTAAGCATTAACTGAGGGCATTCAAACATGTCAGATGACCCAATTAAATTTAATACGCCTTGGTTGTGAGGTTTATGTTAGGTTGATGCATAATATAAAAAATTCTCAAAGTAAACAGAAGACAAAGGTGGTTTCTTTACGGGCCCACAAAATACTAAAAATCATATCTACCTAAATCATAAAAAAAAAAGTATAGATGTTTATATTTATATGTATAGCTAGACCGACACATTCTGTGTAAAACACACACCAATATAGTGCTAAGAAAAATAATTGTGAAGATTCCATCCTTTAAGAGACAGAATAGAAGCAGTGGTACGTGGGAGGCGAAGAAAGCGAAGGTTAGATAGGTGGATTCATGAGTGTGGTGACTGAGGAGACAGTAGTAGTTTTCATTGTGCTTTCAATTTATTACTTGGCTTTAAAGCTGGTCATGTACGCAGTGCGTTGAGGTGTGCTAGCTTAACCCATTCATTACCAGTAGTCAGTCACTTAAGTCCATTCGGGTCCAAATTCATAACGTGCGTCTGCAGTCACTAGCTACCACAGCATAACTCACTGACAAGTGACAACATCATATCATATACTTCACAAACTAGGGACATTATGCAAGCATTCCCAATGAATTTGGAATATTTTCTCAACTTCTTAATATGATAATTACATAATCAGGAAGAAAAAGACAAAATCAAATTTAATAGTTATGGAGTAGAATAACAAATCCCACAGGCTCTAAAAGATAGGGTTAAGATGCCTTAATTCAAATACGAACTGTCATATAATTAAGATAATGAACCTTATCCATGAAGGAAATAACGTTCAACCCAAATATTACTGTCTACACACTCCATTCTCTA